TATATATATATGGTATGGATGGATGGATTGTTGTACCATGGGCTATAACATTAGGAGAGTTTCTTTAGGTGCAAGTGGACCCCGTCCTTGGCTTTGAGGGCAATCTGGTACAAGAAGACAAGAGGTCTGGTGGGGTCTGGAGCCACCTTGAAGCGGAGTAGAATCAAGGCAATGGTCACCTTTAGCTCAATCATGGCAAAATGCTGCCCGATACAGTTCCTGCAGACACCAGGGGAAAGAAGGAGATACCTGAGGAAATGGAGTTGTTGTTGACTCTTTCGTTAAGATGCTAGAATAATGAATCTGCTATTCACAGTAAAGCAGCATTTTCACAGTAAATGCCACGGAAACTTTAGAACGTCTATTATTCCCTGCAGGAACATGAACTGAGAGGCTGTAAGGTGATGCCCTCCTTAAAGAAGGTGGCACTTGAAGTTGCTTATAGAATTGTTTCTCCTGTGAGGATGTAGTGTAAAACATGGTGACTATAGTTGGTAACACTGTATTGTGCAACTGAAATTTGCTAATAAAGTAGAACATAAATGTCCTCAGGCATACACAAAGAGATAAAATGGTGAGGATATGGTAATTAACTAGAGGGGGAAGAACCCTTTCACAATGTATGCAGATAGCGAATCACCATGATGTTCGTTCTAAATATCTTACAACTGCATATGTCAACTATACCTCAATAAATCTGAAATTAAGGGAAAAAGAATCGTTTCTCCTGCATTGGGGGTGGGCTGCATGGCTTACGAGCAAGTTTGCATTGTAGGGTAACTTTCTGAGGCATGGCTGTATAGGATGTGACAGAGAAGGGCCTTGTCCTTTGTGAAACTAACTGGTCTTTTTGGGGGCTCAAATAGGTACCAAGATCTACCTCATAATCTGGTGAGAAGATGGGGCTCCATGGAAGAATATATAGAGCTGAGTTACCAAAGGGAGAGTGCTGTTTCCAAGTAAACATTTCTGTGCATTTTCAACAACTTCAAATTGTCCTTACCTTGGTCCAGCTGAGAATGGTAAGAAGGAGTAGGGGTGTCTCTGATCAGAATTCTCTTGGGAGAACCTCAAGGGGTCAAAGACCTAAAATGACAGGGCAATCCCACCACCATCCCCAAAACACCATTAGCACATTTCTTAAGCTACTACTTAGCACTAGTCAACAGAAATATACAATGAGCCACATATGTAATTTCAACATTCTGGTAGCCACATTTTTGTTATTTTATTTTATTTATTTGTCAGAGAGAGCACAAGCAGGGGCAGTGGCAGGCAGAGGGAGAAGCAGGCTCCTCACTGAGCAAGGGAGTCTGATGCAGGACTGGATCCTGGCACCCTGACACTTAACAGACTGAGCCACCTTGGCATCCCAGGTAGTCACATTTTTAAAACTTGAAAGTAATTTTAATAATAGAATTTATTTTGCAGAAAATATTATCATTCCAACATGTACTCAATATAAATAATTATTAAGGAAATATTTCACATTTTTGTACTATGTCCTCAAATTCCAGTGTGTATTTCACATTTCCAGCACGTCTCATTTCCGACTAGGCACATTTTTAAAAAAATTTTTTATTGTTATGTTAATCACCATACATTACATCATTAGTTTTTGATGTAGTGTTCCATGATTCATTGTTTGTGCATAACACGTGCCCTCTTTAATACCCATCACCAGGCTAACCCATCCCCCCACCCCCCTCCCCTCTAGAACCCTCAGTTTGTTTTTCAGAGCCCATCGTCTCTCATGGTTCATCTCCCCCTCCGATTTATTCCCCTTCATTCCTCCCCTCCTGCTATCTTCTTCTTCTTTTTTTTTCTTAATATATATTGCATTGTTTGTTTCAGAGGTACAGATCTGTGATTCAACAGTCTTGCACAATTCACAGTGCTCACCATAGCACATACCCTCCCCAATGTCTATCACCCAGCCACCCCATCCCTCCCACCCCCCCCACCACTCCAGCAACCCTCAGTTTGTTTCCTGAGATTAAGAATTCCTCATATCAGTGAGGTCATATGATACATGTCTTTCTCTGATTGACTTATTTCACTCAGCATTAAGACCCTCCAGTTCCATCCACGTCATTGCAAATGGCAAGATCTCATTCCTTTTGATGGCTGCATAATATTCCATTGTGTATATATACCACATCTTCTTTATCCATTCATCTCCGACTAGCCACATTTTAAGTGCTCAATAACCACTTGTGACGGATAGCTACCACACTGGACAGGGCAATTCTAGACCTGCAGCCCTTATTTGGCCTCCCAATGGACTAGTATGCTACCCAGACTAAGTATGGAGAAAGCAGAAATGCTAGGGCCAGTGATATTATTTTCACTTTGGAGGTAAGAATGCACCCACTTAATTTATCCAAAGAGAACGAAAACACTAATTTGAAAAGATATATGCATCCCTATGTTTATTGCAGCATTTACTTATAATAACTAAGATATGGAAGCAACCTAAGTGTCCATCAATAAATGAATGGATAAGGAAAATGTGGTGGCTAGAATGGAATATTACACAGCCATAAAAAGGTTGAGATCATGCCATTTGAGACAACATGGATGGACCTAGAGGGTATTATGCTAAGTGAAGTAAGTTAGACTGAAAAGGAAAAATACTATATGATTCCAATCATAAGTCAAATCTAAAAAAAAAAAAAAGCAAGTGCATAAACAAATAAAAAGCAGAATTAGACCTATAAATACAGAGAACAAACTGATGGTTGTGGGGGGTTGGACAAAGTGGGTGAAGGGGAGAGGGAGATACAGGCTTCCAGTTATGGAATGAATAAGTCACAGAAGTAAAAGGCACAGCATAAGGAATATAGTCAATGATACTGTTATAGTGATGTAACAGGACAGATGGTAGCTACACTTGTGAGCATAGCATCAGGTATCAACTTGTCAAATCACTAAGTTGATCCTGAAACTAACGGAACATTGCATGTCAACTATACTCAAATTAATTTGAACATTAAAAAAAAAGAATGCACCCACTTAGAAGTCTAGCCAAAGTGATTATGTGATCAATTGGTGCTGAGATATGCAGTCCACCTCCTGTTATACATAAGAGATCTTAAACCCTAGCCACTTAGGTGAAAGGAAATATTTATGGGTATTGTGAGTGTTTAGAGTTTAAGAGACTGAATCAAGCACTATGGTTAGCTATGTGTCTTCTTTTTGCCTCTCCAGATCATCTGTCCTCCCTTTCCTGCTCTGCTCTAGGCTCCAAGAAGCGGATCCACATAGTTAAAAGATATTGATTGGTGGACATTTGTCAACAGTTTGTTCTCTGTATTTATAGATCTAATTCTGCTTTTTGTTTGTTTATGCACTTGGTTTGATTGTTTGATTCAACTTATGAGTGGAATCATATAGTATTTGTCTTTTTCAGTCTAACTTATTTCACTTAGCATAATACCCTCTAGGTCCATCCATGTTGTCTCAAATGGCATGATCTCATCCTTTTTATGGCTATGTAATATTCCATTCTAGCCGCCACATTTTCCTTATCCATTCATTTATTGATGGACACTTAGGTTGTCATTTTATTGATGGATGCCAATAAAAGACACTGGTAGTCTGGAGGGTGGGTGGAGAGAGCTTTTGGGTTATTTACTCCCTGGATCTCACCCTACCAAGCTGCCTCAGGCTGACTGCTCTACTGAAGGCCCAGCTCCTGCTCCGAACCCTTCCCAGCACAGCAATCTCTCTCCAGTCTTTGTAACCTTCTCCCCGACCAGGCCCAGAGGTAGGAAGGCCTTCAACAGTTCTGAGCTCCATGTTGCTTTTCTAAACCCTACCAAATCTTTGTAAATAGTTCCTTTACGAAACTCTCCTCAAAGAGCCCAACTTGAGTGTACCATCGGTTTTATGCCCGAATTCTGATTGTTCCATCCAGCAGGAGAGAGTTCAAGTTGCCTGCCTGGCTACATAGATAGTTTACATTCCTGCAGATGTCTAGGTGAGTGCTTGGTGGAGCTCGCTTAGTAAATGACTGCAGTACAGATTGCAATTTGGAGCAGATCCTGTGGCATTATGTCAATCTGTTCATTCAAAGCAAACAAAGAAGGAATAGGGGAAAGGGACGGTTTTCCTTTAGGAGAAAAGTTGAACATTTTTGGTCTTTATGTTTATTTTATTTGTTTTGTGTCATTTGCCACTTCCACATTGTGCTAACAAAAAGTTACTTGCACATTAGCCTGGTGATGGGTATTAAAGAGGGCACGTTCTGCGTGGAGCACTGGGTATTATGCACAAACAATGAATCATGGAACACTACATCAAAAACTAATGATGTAATGTATGGTGATTGATTAACATAACAATAAAATTTTTTTAAAAAAGTTACTTGCACAGCATTCGTTTTTTGAAGTATTTACATGTAAGACTGTCATACCTTTGGATTTTCCCAGATGGCAGGATTATGGTGAAGGCCCCAAATACTTAGAACCACAGTTATTCCTGTGAAAAGAAAGAAATAAAAGAGATTACAGGAGACAGAGCAAGTTGTGAGCTGCTGTTATAGCACTTTTCAACAAGAATTTTCTTCTTGGAGGGAATGATCTAGCTCCTGGCAGAGTTCTGCATGCCGTAGCTGATGTCAGCAGTCAGGGAGCCGTGGGAAGATGAGGCTTGAGTGACACGGTGGTTTTCAAAGCAATGACTTATCTAATACCTGATTCTATCTTAAGGTGCTGTTGGTATCATGTCAGAATGGTATCTGTTAATGGACAATACAGCACCCACCAGAGATAATTTGGGTCCAGAAGAACAGAACCACAATTCCATCATGCAGGTCCAATGACAAGTTTCTGTTGGTTCTGTTGATAAGTGGAAGGGAGGAAATTTTGGCAAATGTCCACATGGTTTGGGGATTAAAAAAGAAGAGGAGAGAGATTTTGAAGATTATTTGATTACCATAAAAAATTCTGATAAATTAATTCTGGATCTGTCAACAAAGTCACAGTGACAGGCTGTTGGCATTTGCTACAAGCAATCCTGTCAGCTTGTTTCCAAGGGCAAGAGTTAACAGAACACTGAAGTAGACAAGTGAAGTGTCTCTCACGTGACACCCTTCTGCCTCCCGCTTGCCCTGCTCAGAGACCTGTGCTCTGAAGAGCACTGGGCTCCAGATGTGGGGCCTCTATGCAAGTTTTAGTTCTGCTCATCTGCACATTGGGGTCTCCAGTGGGTTTTTGGCTACGCCACAAGTATTTGAAAGTGCTCTGTAAACTGAGAAGCACCATATAAGTGTCTGTTAAGATCATGTCTCAAGGGCGGGAAAATGAGATAACGTGCTTGAAGGCTCTATGTTAATTATTAAGTGCTGCATACTTATAAAAGTGATATTACGATGATGAAGCCAAAGACCCTACCTTGGGTCTTCTAGATAATAGATAATGATGTTCATCTCCCATGAAGTCTCACCTCAGTCTCAAACTAAGCCAAATAAGGATTATTTTAGAAACAATGTCCTGCAAATGAAGAAACCCTGGATTGGGATTCTGGCCACCCAGGTTCTGGGCAGAGCTTCTCTACAAATGGCTACGTGCTTTTGGGAAAGTCTGGAAACCACATCTGATCAAAAAGTTACCTGCTAAGTTCTTAATAGGCACCCAACCCTAAGCCAGACTTCCTTAGATTTGTCTTTTGACTCCTCTAAGAGTTGAGAAAAAAGCCAGTCTTTGCCACTGTGGTGGCCAGGATCCCCAGGTCTCTAGGAACTGCTTAAGAAAAGAATGCAAAGACCTGCAGGCAAGGAGCGTCCATCTGGGAAGGTAATGGGCTTGCTGAGCTCTCTGGAAATAGATGGGACTGGAGGCGCCAGTCGGAGTGACTCCTTGATGCACATTGTGGTGTATGACATCTCACCCAGCTGGTCCCTGTGAGGACAAGGGAAGGAGGGGAGAGAACTCGGTGTCCATATCTAGTTTGTAAATATTGATGTTTTTCCTCTTTGGTGTTTATTCCTGGTAAATATCAACTCTAGATTAAAGTTATTTTGTAATTGGTGTATGTAACAGAATGTGAGACTCTTTCTGCTGCAGGATCAGCTGAGGTTCCAGGGGAAGAGGAACCAAACAAGTGCCAAATATCCTCATTATAAAGTGAAATGCTAATCTACCAGTAAAGGATTTGCTAGGGAGATTTCTGAAACCAGTTTTGCAACTCTTTTTTTAAAATTTTTTTATTGTTATGTTAATCACCATACATTACATGCAACTCTTATCATATAAATCAAGAATGTAGAAGGAATGACTAAAGACTGAAGAGAGAGGGCTTAAGAGTTTTGAGAGGGAAAAAAAAGATCCTTTAAAGAGAGTTGTTGGAATGCCAGAATGCTGTGGAGAATGGAGGAGGGCCCCCCAACCATGTTAGGCAAAGAGGGGCTTCTTGGGTCACTTAGATGATCTGACATGTGCCCCCTGGATTTTGGGAGACAGAGGACTGAGAGGAAAGTGTGATTCAGAACAGAACAGGGAGTTGGGGGGGAGAGCAAGAGGGACAAACAAGTCAGGAGTGCTCCAGTGTGCTCTATGGGCCAATGAACTGGCAAGAGGGAGAGCTTCAGAACCAGCTTGAAAGGAATTCTGAGGACAAGAATTCCCTTGCCCCATGAATCACCATGGCAAAGCTCCAGTGAGGGAATCTCCAAGAAACTCACAGATGTACCCATTGAGAGTGAAAGGAAGCACTAAATAACCACCAAGCTCAGAGAGCAAGATCATCATAGTACTAACCCCTTTCTCCTCCTCACTCCCTCCTGGGACCACCTATGGAAGGGTCAGAAACAGAAGCTACTGGGTTGGGGAGGAACTGGTCAGTAAAAAGAAGCCAACCACAACCCCCTCACCCACCACTGGCTTCCAGACCCAAAGAAATGCTGAGCTGGGATGGAGGGAGAGGATCCAAGTGGATATGAATTTGCACTTTTTATTATTCCACTGGACCAGACAGTTTCATTACTGAAATGAGACTGCTTTTGTGACTTAAATGGATGGGAACTCTATGAGATTCACTCAAGATTTCACCCCAGAGATGAAAAGAGCTTGCCCCACACAAGTGTGAAATATCAGAGGGAGAAGAATAAAGGTTTTTTTTTTTGCATCCTAGCCAGTCAGCTAGTCACAAAATGACTGCATATGTTCAGTCTATTTGCTTTATTGTATTTCTGTTTGCTTTTCTGATTACTTAATTTTGAATGCAGGCTCTGGCCACTTGGTAGTGTGAAATTTTCATTTTGAGCTCTTTCCTCCTCAAGCCCAGAATAAAAAGGGTAATTCTGCTTAGCCTGGCACTTTGCATATTTTAGAAACACAACGCTGTCCATCTTAGCCCTGGTGCAAGAAGAAGAGAGGAATTTTAAACCAATGCAGAAATGGCTGACAAGTCAAATGGAGGTGTTGAACAACTTGCCAGTTTTTTCAGAAATTGCTCTTTGTAATGTGGTTTTATTATCTGTCTAAAAGAATTATATAAATTTTCAGCATGCTATGTACAAATTTCATTAAATGTGAGTATAAGGCCATATGATGGAATAAAAACATGTTTTATTTTTTATAAAATTATTTTCATTTCTCTCATTAAAATAAATGGTAGTTAACAGATCCTTTGGACTTTGTTTTCTCACCTGGCAAAGATTTCTTTATTGTTTTCACATTTCACATAAGCCAGACAAGAATGAGAAAGACCAATATTGGGATTGTATATATATCCACCCTAAACAGGTTAAAATATTCAATTAATGTTGATGAATGAATAAAAAATGACTAAGCAACACTATATTTTGTGCTATATATTAAACCTTTAATTTATGGTAAGAGATAACTATTATTTCATTATAAAAAGTAGGAGCTCTACCATACCTATATAAATCCAAATTTTCCTTTACAAATGTTAACGGAGCTGACCTTTGCATTTGAAATATGGTGCATTCCCCTTAGTCCTGGGGCTGGGTAGCCCTTAGCATTTCTATCTCTTTGCCCCTTTGGCCAGCAAAACAGTGGTTAAGTGAAATATCTAGCTAGGGTGAAGAATGTGGTTTAAATCAGAGACATATGTTGGTTTTTCTTTAAGACAGCATGTCTCAGGGGCAAATCCATAACCTAGGCATTGTTGAACAACCAGATAGGCTCGAAATCTTGCAAAATGATGTTGACATTTTCCACCTGGCTAACCCATCTTATAAGAGGCAGCTTGGGTGTCAGATCTCCCAAGAAGTCCTCGTGAGTCCCCTATACCAGGTTAGGTGCCTGTCTGAGTTTCTGTAGTAGCACATCTCTCTCTCACTACCCTTACCAGGTTATATGGCAATTATCCATATGGAGGCCTGTCTCTTGTCCCAGGGTGTGAGCTCATTGAGGGCAGGATCCACACCAAATCTTGCACATTTCTTAAGTGCCTCAGCACTTAGAATGTTCTCAATCCATAATCGCTAGACTTAACTACAGTGTATATCATATTAGTACTATGTTCAAAGTCTAAGCCAGTTGTGGGGAATGAACAAGGAGATGGGAGGAAATGACTACAATGGGGGCTTAAATGATATGGATGCTTGCTGGGGTCTCAGAGAGGAGACCCACTTGAGTCTTACCATTCAAACTCTCAATGCAACTCTAAGGATCAAGTCCCCATTTCCAGTGCACCGAACCAGGTGAAAAAGAAATGGGACATTACATACCACTGATGAAGAAAAACAATGAAGCAGATAACTTGTGGGCGAGTGAACTTCTTTTGCAAAGATACAGGGATAATTTTGGTCTGTCTAGAAAAAAAAAGCAGAACAGTAGCCTGCCTGTTCTGTTTCTACAGGTACATATCTTGAAGCACAAAGGTCACCAAGGTACCAGAGGAGAAAATAAAGCAAAACCCATGGAGAGGAAGTAAGATGAAATGTTTAAGAATCCAGATCTTACCAGGTGATGGAAGACCTGTCCCCCAGGATGCCCCTGATCTCCTCCCGGCATCTCTCCTGATGCTCAGGGTTCAGAGCCAGGAAGTAGAGGAGCCAGGAAATGCTCCCTGCCATGGTGTCATGCCCTGCCAACATGAATGTGTTCACCTCAGACTTTAGGTCAGTATCTGAGAAGCTGTTGCCATTTTCAGCCTGGAAGGTATAGTAGGGATATGTTTATGCAATGTCAGTTTATAGATGTCTATAGCCCCAATCAAGATAATGACTTTAGGGAAAAAAATTAGAGTTTCATATGAGAATTTCAATTTTAATTCTGTTCAACAAATACATAGTAAGAGCCACACTTTGACCAGAGCACAAAGGAGAACCAACATTAGATAAGGAAAGCAGGCCTTGCAAACAGTTCCTTCATTCATCCTGCCAGATTCATGCAGATTTCCCAGCACCTCCTCCTCCTCATTTTACCAACTTACACTATGACCCATTTTCCTGTGCTCCCCTAAACTGCCATGTATCTTTGCAATAATCACCAAATTCTGTCCAATTAGTAAAAAATTTAGTCTTATCTGACTCCCTCTAGTGACAGAATTACAGACTTCTATCTTTACCGCAAACTGTATGGAGCCAACCCATTAATTCAAAAGTATTGTTAAATTTAGTTGATCAATTTTCCTTTTGTCTCCCCTCCTCCTCATTCATCCATTTACCCACACAATTAACTACATATATGAGCAGCTTCAGACATTTGAAAGATTTACCTGGGCAGAAAGGATAATATCCAGAAAATCCTGGTACTTCTGCTTCTGAGTGTTACCATGCTTCTTCTCAACTTTGAGGAATTTCTTTCTATCCTGGATTACCTTTTCTGGGACAGAATAACAATTCTCCATTACCAAAGTGACAGCAAAATTAGTCAAAGTAAAATTATTCCAGAGCAAGCCATGGCCCACGCATAGCTTCAAATCTTATCTAATTTCCTAATCTCAGAATGGGTACATTGTATTTAAATAGATTTAATTTTTGAGGATGTTTGTTCTCCCATCAAATGACACACTTTGATCAAAGTTCCAAAGAAACACAGTATAGCTGAAATAGACTTTATATAACTAGGTAGGCAATATAATGAAGATGGTTTCAAATGCAAGGGCAAGTCGCCAATCATTCTTTTCTTTCTTAGTCTAATATCTCATTTTCATGGAAAAGTTATCAAATGAAATGGAAGACAGGCAAAGAAACACCAACATCTGTATAGCTGATGCGGCTTAAAAGAGAACCCCACAAAAATATGAAACAGAATATCTAAAACTATAATCCAAGAAAACTGTGGAAGTGAGACAAAATTTAAATGTACATATTAAGAGGCCCACCTTATCCCTGGAAAAGTTGGAACAGAATAACCAATACCAAATATACCTTAATAAAACTGTTCAACATTGAAGACAGAGAGAGGAAAATCCTCAGAGACTCCAAACAAAAGGACCAAATGACTTTTAAGGGTAAGAAAATTAAGGCAGCATCATACTTCTCAAGAACAATAAAGAAATCAAAACAAGATTAGAGCATTTTCAGGGTGCCTGGGTGGCTCAGACAGTTAAACATCAGACTCTTGATTTCAGCTCAGGTCTTGATATCAGGGTCATGAGTTCAAGCCCTGTGCTGGGTAAAAGATTAGAGCATTTTCAAGAAACTCAAGGAAACAAAGTAGCAGTAAAGTATTTTATATCCAGGAAAATTGTCATTCAAACAAGTATCAAGTCTACCAAAAAACAGGTATAAACTTGCATGAACTCAGAAAATACTATGCTCATGAGCCCATCCTGAGGAATCTAGAGTGGTTGAGCTTCATCCAACTAGGAAAACTTCATTAAAGAACTGAGGTGCACATTTCAAAGATGTAATTTTAGATCTCATACTAAAATAAGGATTGGCACATGGGCAGAAGAATATCACATAAACACTAAAAGTGAAAATAATTCAAATAAAAATAGGAGGAGATGGGAGGGAGAAAGGGGAAAGTAGAATAATCACTAATTGTTGGGAGCCGGGCACGTTTGATCTTTTCTCCCTCTGGACCTGAGGCCTCTGCTGCAACCATGTTACACCAGATCCTCAGTCAGGCCAAGAAGCATCTGAGCTTGATCCTCCTCCTCATATTTATTGGAGTGGGAGGTACTGGAGCTATGTCTTGCTCCTGGCATTGCTTAATCCAGATGTCAGTGGGGATAGGAATAACCCAGAATCTTGGAGCAAACTGGGCCCCCATGGTTAATACAAGTTCTGCTCAGTGAATTTAGATTACAGCAAACTGAAGAAAAAAGATCCAGACTTCTAAATGAAATGTTTCAATATAAAGCTGCTCAGAATGAAGGTCTTCCAGAAGCCATCCTCACAATTTTCTACTTATCCAGGAAATATTTCCCCTCTAAATGCATGAAATCATGTTGGTGTATTGTGTTGGGGTTTACACTGATTAATAAATATCTGAAGCTTGAAAAAAAAAGATCATTAATAGTTGTATAGGTAATAAATGAAAATCAAAGGATATTATTAAAAACTGACAAACCATCAAATAACCAGTCACAAAATACAGATACTATATGATTCCTCATATACGTATATAAGGTACCTAGAATACCTAGTCAAATTTGTGGAGACAGAAAGTAGAATGGTAGTTTCCAAGAGAAAGGAGTATAAAGAGGATTTATCATTTAATATGTATGGAGTTTCAATTTTGCAAGGTGAAATGAGTTCTGGAGATGGATGGTGGTGGTGATGGCACAATAACATGAATGTAATTAATAGCACTAAACAGTACACTTTAAAAAGATTAAGATGGTAAATGTTATCTGTATTTACTACAATAAAAATGACAAGCCAGATAGCAAAAGTTTAAATAAGGAAAAGGGGAATTAAGGATTTATGGAAGGACTAAACACTATGGTAGCCAGAGAAAAAATATAAACCGTCTTAAATATCAAAAGATATATTTTAAAAGAGCAAAGAAGACATACCACATAGAGAAAGGAACACAGTGTACTGAATTGAATAATGTCCCCCCAAAATTCATGTTCACCCAGAATCAGTGAGTAGTTGTTAGGGAAGCCTTTAGGAAACTAATAAACACAGTAACTATAATATAATACACATAGTAAAGCATAATAATGTGCAGTGTTGAGTCCAAACATATCAGTCATTTCAACAAATAAGAATGGGAACGACTTGTTTACTAAAATAAAAACATTTTCAAATTGACTCATAAAGCAAAACCAAACTATGTGCTGCATGTAAGAAAAATGCATAAAACAAAACAATTCAAAATGTCTATAAATAAAGGGATGGACAAGGATGTACCAGACAAATGAAAATAATAAGGAAATTGCGGTTGCAATCCTGATATCAAACAAAGTAGAATTTGAACAAAAACTCATTAAAGGCCAGTTTTTATTATTTATTTATTTATTTTTAAAGTTTTTATTTATTTATTTGTCAGAGAGAGAGAGAGCACAAGCAGGCAGAACAGCAGGCAGAGGGAGAAGCAGGCTCCCCGCTGAGCAAGGAGCCCAATGTGGGACTCGATCCCAGGACCCTGGGATCATGACCTGAGCCAAAAGCATACGTTTAACTGACTGAGCCACCTAGGCATTCCAAGAAGGTCAGTTTTTAATGTTAAAAGTCAGGATATCACACGGCACTTGGCTGGCTGGGTTGGTGGAATACGTGACTCTTGATCTCAGGGTTTTAAGTTCGAGCCCCACATTGAGTGTAGAGATTACTTAAAAATAAAATCTTAAAAAAAGTCATGATACTGCAAGATATAATACTTATGAGCATATACACACACCAAATAACACAGCAGTACCTATTTCAAGCAGAAAACTATAGGAAATGCAAGGAAAGATAGGCAGAATCACAGTAATAATAGGAGTCTTCAACATACTACTCCCAGTACAGGACAGGTTAAATGGACAAAAATAAGATCTAGAAGATCCAAACAAAATAATAAGGCAGAACATATGGGGGAAAATATCAGACAATACCTAATAATAGAGAATTTATCTTCTTCATAAGAGTGCATGGAAAATTTACAAAAATTGATCACATATTAGACCAAAGAAAACATTAGTAAGTTCTGTAAAATGGAAATACTACAAACAATGCTTTCTAATTGCAATACAATAAAATTAGAAATTTTTAAAAATAAAAAAATAAGAAAGCTTTTCACCCAGAAATATATAAACCTTCTATTAAATACTTTTTGAGTGAAAGGGATATACAAACAGAAATTAAAGCATTTCTGAAAAATAATGATAATAAAAACATTACTAATCAAAATACATAGGATATATTTAATCAATGAACAAAAAAAATTCATAACCTTAAAAACACATAGTAATAAGAAATATAAAAATCCATCCTAAAATTTGTATGGAATCTCAAGGGACTACAAAGACTCAAAACCATCTTGAAAAAGAACAAAACTGAAGGACTCATACTTCTTCCTAACTTCAAAATTTACTACAAAACTATGGTAATCAAAAACAGGGTGGTATCAGCATAAAGATAGACATATACCATGTATGAATGGCTTACAGAGCACAGAAATAAACCCTCACATATATGGTCAAATAATTTTTGACAAGGATACTAAGACCATTCAAGAGGGGAAAGGACAGTCTTTTCAACAAATGTTGCTGGGAAAACTGGACATCTACATGCAAAAGAATGAAGTTAGACCTTACCTATACCATATTTGAAAATTAACTCAAAATAGGTCAAGGACCTAATTGTAAGACCTAAAACAATAAAATTCTTAAAAGAGAAATAGGATTAAATCCACTGGATTTAGTAAGGATTTCTTGCACTGACACCCAAGGCACAGGTAACACAAGAAAAGGTAGACAAGTAAGAGTTCATGAAAATTTAAAAACAGTATCCATAGAGTAAAAAGGCAACCCACAGAATGAGAGAAAATATTTGCAAATCATCTATCTGATGAGGGATTCAGATCCAGAATATATAGAGAACTCCTAAAACACAATACCAAAAAACAACCTGATTCAAAAATGAGTAAAGGACTTAAGTGGACGTTTTTCTAAAGATGATATATGAATGGCCAATTAGCACATGAAAAGAAAAGTTCATGTTCAACATCACTGATCATTAGGGAAATGCAAATCAAAACTATAATAAGATACCACCTCAGACTTATTAGGATTGCTACTATCAAAAATTCCAGAAAACAACTGTTGGTAAGAATCTGGAGAAATCAGAACCCCTTGTGCACTATGGGTATGAATGCAAAATGCTACAGCTGCTGTGGAAAACAGGCAGCTCCTCAAATAATAAAAAAAAATAGAATTATCATATGATCCAGCAATTCCATTTCTGGAGAAACCTTCAAAAAAATTGAAAGCAGAGTTTTGAAGAGATATTTGTACACCCATGTTTCTAACAGCATTATTCACAAAAGCTAAAATATGGCAGCAACCCAAATGTCCATTGATGAATGATTGCATAAACAAAATGTGATGGAATATTTTCGATCTTAAAAAAGTAGGAAATTCTGACATATGCTACAACATGGATAAACCTTGAGGACATGCTAAGCGAAATAAGCCAGTCACAAAAAGATAAATACCCATAGTTTCCATTTATAGGGTACTTAGAATAGCCCAAATCATAAAGACAGAAAATACAATGGTGGTTGCCAGGGACTGAAGGGAGGGGAGAATAGGGAGTTACTGTTTAATAGGTATAGAATTTTAGCTTTACAAGACAAATAGGTTTATGGGGATGGATGGTGATGGCTGCACAACAATGTAAGTGTATTTAATACCACTGAACTGTACATTTAAAATATGATTG